CGATCTGGCCAACAGATATATACCCCCAGCCTTTGGTTTGCGGAGGTCTGCGGAATTACACACAGATTTTATTATATGTTTGTATCAAAGAGGTTTCGTATTTAATGTTGATAACATTTTATAAAATATTGACCATTTGTGAGGAAGGTACCGGAGGGAGTGGACTACTGGGTTCCATCTTCGGAAGTAATATAGACTTCGTAAAGATAATAGGTTGTGCAAAGTTTAGTATATAAATAATGCACATTTTGACCATTCGTGGGGAGGTACCAGAAGGAGATCACCAATGGGTCCCATCTTCAGACTTAATCTAGATTTCTTAAAGATAATGAGTTGTGCAAAGTTTGGTTCATATCGGACATTCTATTCGCCTGATATTGGATTTACAAATATTGAAAATGTTGAACATTTGTGGGGGATGTACTAGAAGGAATGGACCAATGGGTCCCATCTTCCTACTTAATCTAGCCTAGGTAAAGATAAAAGATTGCACAAGGTTTTATTAAATTAATTTTAAGCACAATTTTGACAATTTTTTTGGGGGAGGTAACAGAAAGAGTGGACCAATGGGTCCCATCTTCAATCCTAGGGTAAATACAATAGGTTGTACAAAGTCTCGTTAATATCGGATAGTCCGTTTGTATGTTATTATATAATTAATAATTTTTAGGCTTGCAAGCTTATAACTCGCGAAATATGAACATAATGCATATAATTTAAATTCATTTCTATAAAATGAATTGTTCTTATCAAAATCTAAAAATATTGGGAATAAATATTAAGTTGCGTGGAAGCTGTGAAAATAATAAGTGAAAATGTGTTGAAGCCAACGAGTTTTTTTTGTGTTCCTTCCTGATTTGTGGCTAAACTACACAACGCACGCCCATGGACAATATGGTTTTAATGTATGATATTTCGATATAATCACTGCATCCACCCAAAACGGATGCTGACATTTTGAAGCCGAATTTTCGGTGTTTTTCGAATTGTTCTTATAATCAGGACGCTCAACCCGATAATGGGCTATACTGATTGTAGGATTGTAGAACTCCTGATTTTGCTTCGTTTAGTGTATATCTCATGAATGTGCTAACCGTAGCTTCTTTGCAATTAGATTTCAAAGACGAAAATTTGGTGCGAAAATTTTTATAAAAAACCTGCCTTAAGAAGGTCTACTCAAATGCCATTGAACCCCGCGTGATTTTAATTTTTTTTATGTGCCGAATCTAATGAGCCCAGCCATTTTCAATTCCCTCCAATAAAACGGGGGATATAGGTACCTTGAATGTAGGAAAAACAACAAAAACTTATTTTGGCTAATTCGCCTATATAATCGCGTGTTTCTTCGAATTGTTTTACACACATTCATGTTTGTATTATTATATTCGCGAATCTGTGTGAGAATAGGTCAAAAATACATCGATGAGCGAATAATATGCTTTTTTTATCCAAAATTGACTGTGGCGGCACATCCGCGGTTCTTACCCAATTCTTTTAAAATAGTGGCACTTTTGTGTATTTTCATTGGAGATTACTGACATCGGATGCGCATAAAAATTGTATGCACGTCATTTGTAGCCATTTTTAGGGTTTTTGCATAGTAAAGTGCATTGAACGGCATACTTTGGCCCCTAAATGAAAATTCGAAAAATTCATAATTATTCGAAGAGATAGCTTCGGTTTATACAAAAACCGCATGCGCATCAACTGATTTCAAGGAATACGCGGATTGCATGCTTCTAAATATTGATACTTTTTATGTATTGTAGTCATTTTTAAAGTTGAAACTCATATCAGAAAAATCTACCGATATTTAACAATGACCCAAAGGAATTTGAAGAAGTAAGTGTGGCATATTTTAGAAGAATGAGACAAAACCTTATCCCCTTAACCATACTACAAAAATCGAAAATTCAAAAAACGCTTCGTTTTAATTAAAAAATTAATTTATTTTATTTTCAGATATCTTCATGCTTCTATTTGTTTTTCGCTACAATTTAACAGTAACTCAATTAATTTGAAAAAATACATATGCGAATTTTATAACAAACAATGGAATGCAAAACTCACCACAATCGAGTGAGTGGAGGATCGCGGTTGTAAACAAAAGAAACAGTAGACAAACAAAGGGTTGCAAAACTAATAGCCACTAAGTGAGGGGAGTGACAGAAGACTGTGCCAGGAAAACACGAAGGAATATAGTTTTGATATTAATGAAATTTTTATATTGTATGGAGGATATTTCAATTTTGTCATTCTGATTGTAACTCATTCAAAATATTCATTTTCGAAATATTCCTATAATGTAGATATATACTTTTGATCAGGGTAAAATTCTAAGATGATCAAGCCATGGCCGTCCGTCTGTTATAATCTCTAAATGAATTGAGATAGGGTGCTGAAATTTTGCATAGGATTGTCTTTTGTCTGCAGGCGGGTCAAGTTCGAAGATGAGCTATATCGGTCCACGTTTAGACATAGCTCTTATATATAGGGTTATCTCCCAATTTTCGGTACTTTGGGGTTCAAGAGAGCGTTTTTCAACCGAATTTGTTAAAATATGGCAAATTGGGTTCTTATTTGGTACCAAATATTTCCACTAAAAATTATAAATATCGGTTCATTTTTTCTGGTAGCCCCCATATAACGGTACCTTCTAATTGTCAGTATTTTGGGGTTTTGATCATATTTGTCCGCCGAATTAGCTGTAATTTAGTATTTTGAGTTCTTAATATGTACCAAATCTCTCCACAAAAAATTATGAAAACAGTCCCATTTTTTCGGATAGCCCCGATATAAGGGTAGCCCCAATTTTCGGTATTTTGGGGTTCTTGAGCGCGTTTTTCAACCGAATTTGCTGCAATTTGGTATTTTGTAGTCGTTTATGGTAGTAACTCTCCATACCAAAAATTGTTAATATTCACCCTTTTATATTAAAATGGTTATCTGATTTGTTCCGCGTTTTGAGTTTGGTTCTAAGACTCTGTTGTAATCATTTCACCTGCGGAGGATAGCGAGAAAAAAATTAGATCGTAAGGTTCGATAATGAACTATATCTAGAGGTTCCAGAGGCAGTGAACTAAGTTTGGAAGAAATAATAAGATGGGCAAAGTTTGGATGAAATCTGATGAAATTTTCTGAAACGGATTTGGTCCAAAGAAACATGGGGTCTAGAACCAATAATTCGATGAGGCACATTTTCACCGTGTTAAAGTGTATACGCCCTCATTAGCCATTAGGCCGAGGGTAGGGGAGAGGGGGGCACCTTTGAACACTTTTTGCTTTCAAGCCTTATAAAATTTTGTATTTTATAATTTTTGGTTTCTTATACATTTTAACTGATTGGTACATATGTAACCTTTAAAATGAATATACATATGGCATATTTTAAGCTTGATAAATATATTTTATTACTGTTTTAATGGACGAACTCAAAGTGTTGGCATTTTTGAACGACATGGTTTTTTACAGTGTTTATGTTCAAATATGTATGTGTTTTATTCATACATATCAGAAATGCATTAATTCATTAAAAAATATATAAAAAATGTTCAAAATTTAAAAAAATTAGATCAAAAGTTATTAAAACATAAAATGACTTAAAAACAAAAATTAATATGGTGAAAAATACAGTTAATTTCGTAATCATATTAACCCATTTGAAATTTTGAGAAATTGAAGCCAAAAGTTAAAAATTCCTTTTTTACTCTAGTTTAATGGGCATGTTCAAAGGTGCCCCACCCATGGCATTTTACGGAAATTTAAAATAACTTTTTTTGTAATAAATATATATGAAAGAAATTACATTAGTTATGTTTGAAATGATTGTTGGAATGCAAAAAATTTGTTTGACGAAAGAAAACTATCACAGAATTCTTCCTGCGCCCTTCAACCAAATGAATAAAAGTTTACAATGACACTGAGAAAACATGGTCACCCATGCACAATTTTTCGACAACTGAAAAAGCAAGCCAAAGTGGTTTACGCATATAGAGAACAAGATTGCCATATACAAAAATGTGGTTGCGGGTCGGAAAAATATTAAACCAAGATTTTATGAGCGCTGTTCAAAGGTGCCCCACGTTCAAAGATGCCCCCCTCTCCCCTATAATTATCCATTAAAATTTCTGAAATTTGTATCATGGTTAACATTATGGTTTACATAGTATGCTCCATTATTCCTTACGTTAGAAACCTCGACAGTATAACATAGTTTCTCTTTGGGGTAGGAAATGTCAAAGCTAATAAATGTGAATACCCCATGGTGAAAATATAAGGAATTTAATATTACTATTTAAGAGAGTTATTTAATGTTTCTGGTCGTCAGTAGTTTACAATATATACTTATACTTATGTCTAATTTGTCCTGTATAAAAATCCCTTCCATTTCTGTTTACAACGCAATAGTATAGTTCCACGGGGGAGAGAACTGTAATTGCAAGTAACTGTCAGTATACCTATGGTGGAGGGTCGGCCGAACTTATCGCCTTTTTTACTTGTTTTGTAAAAAATAGTGGCGTTCCGGATTGTCTACGATTTAGGATTATCAAAGGATAAAATAACTCCTTGTTACCGATTTGCGCGATTTCCAATACTAAAAATTGGCTAACACCAATATATATTTACGTTCATGTTAATGGTCATGTTGTGTATTATTATATTGACACGTGCCTAAAGTAATCGCTTATTATTTGCAGTTCGTGCATTTCTCACAGTTACAGTACGAAATTCTTATTCTTATCGCATTTATGATGGACACCAAGAGCAATTTCACACAAAAATGTGCTGATTTGAATTTCGCATAACAGGAATTTGCACAGATCCAATACCTCCAAGAACATCTATAATTAACACGTTGCTAATGAATGTTAAATACGCTCCTCCTTAATTGACACCTTAGATAGAATAATGCACCATTTCCAACTACGCATAACATTTCGATACTCAACCACTACTGTATTAATTAATTTCAAAACTCTCATGCCATTCAGGCATCGACCATGGCCAGGAACATAAAACTTACACCTTCGGAACGCTTTGCCAAATTTATGAAAGTTATTGAACTATTTGCCAAATTAGTTGGCGCAAATATATTCGATCCAAATTTTCGGCCAAATTTGCTGACCGCTTTCATTTATGTTATGTTTATCTTCTTTTACTCGTTTATTATCTATACGATTTATTTCGGCGTGGTCATTGAACAGGATTACACAATAATTATCCAGTGTTTGTGTATTGTCACCGTTGCAATGCAGGTAAGTTTGTCAATGGATATATTTCGTCGACCAGAATATCTTATAATACTGTGCCTCCTACAGGGTACTACGAAACATTTGAATGCACTTTTCAATGCCAAATTATTTCGTTTCATTTCCTCGCAACTGCTGACCGTATACGAGGAATACGAATGTAAAAATCAACACTATATTGGCCATTTGAACAATACTCTGGTCTTGGTGAAGCGTACGATTTACTTCCTGTTCCAGATCAACTTTATTTTGACAATGAGCGGATTTGCAGTACCCTTATTCTATTTTGTGGTCCGAAATGAGTCAATCGATATTATACCCCTTATGGTACCGGCTGTCGACAGGAACACTGCATTCGGCATTACTGTCTATCGATTATTTCACGCTACTTGTATCATCTTTTCGGCATTTGGTAATTACGCCTATGACGGTCTCGTAATTCTATGTATTCTCCATATACCGCTGATGAAAAATATTCTCAAGTTGAAATTCGATGAGTTGGATGAAATGTTGGAATTATATCCAGGAAATCGAAAGAAGACAGAGCCTTTGCTAAGGGACATTTTTCAGTGGCATCAAAGGTACATTCTGTAAGTAATCGGATGGGTGTGATATTTATATATAAAGCTTATTTTTCTCATTTCTTCTTCGTAGAATAACCGAAGCTATACAAACACTTTTCTTCTGGGTAATTTTTGTGCAAATTTTTACTGCCACATTGAGCATTATTGCCACCATTGTTTGCCTGTTTTTGGGTGTTTGGCCTGTGGCTCCAGTGTTTCTGGTATATTCGTTTATGATTTTATATTTTTATTGCGGTCTTGGAAATCTGGTGGAAATTTCAGTTGAGTAAAATTTTGGGGGTTGCGTAAAGTTCTATATATATATATATACTTGAATTTATATACCGTTCACCATCGCATGAGGCCCGTCTGTTGTAATCTTTCGGGGAAATTGGCATAGGGTGCTAACATTTGATATAGAGCTGGAGCTTGTTTGAGTCAGGTTAAGCTCAACTCATTGGGTGATATAAATATCATTCTAAACATGATCAATAGATGTAGCCTCCATATAACGGTATTGGCTGTAATTTAATTTTTTGGTTCAATATTGGAAACATATAGACCATACCAATAATTGGTGTACATTTTGGGGTACCCCATATATTAAGCATTTTTATATTACAATAGATAAGTTTCCGTTTTTTTTTTTTGAAGGCAGATCGAGTCTAAAGATGGACTATACAGGTAAACATTTAGACAAAGCCGACAACGAACAGTACCCTTATTTTCGGTATTATGTGATATTTATACCCTACACAACTATGTTGCCAGGGTATTATAGCTTTGTGCAGCCCAAGAGTTTGTAACGCCGCGAAATATTGGTCCTAGACCCAGCTGATCGTCATATCTCGACTAGCTGAGTCGATCTAGACATGTGTGTGCGTCCGTCTGTCCATTATAATTTGTAAACACGATACAGGTCACAGTTATGAACCAATCTTCATGATATTTTGCATGTAGGATGGGTTCTGGCCAATGAATACCCCTATTGTTTTTGTTGAAGATCGGTTAATATATAGGGGTTGAAATGGACCAAAAACTTTATTTTTGTCTGATTTTATGGGGGCTCCGGAGGCCTCAATTATGGCCCCAACATCGCGAAATTTTACATGGAGAAAGGGATCGGGCCAATGAATAAGCATGTCTGATTTCATAAAGATCGGTCAATATTTAACGGGTCAAATGGACCCTGACTTTTGTGTGAAAAATTAAAAAAATTGTATTCTATGGCGTATATATTTACCCCTGAAGGTCAAAGACCCGAGATGTTGATAGCATATTCAAGAGGAGTGGTTGACCTTTAAATTGATACCGATTATATTGTCGTATGTACTCGGATGCGGTAGTTACACTTAAATATTGACAGGTCCTTACTTATTCAGATATTATTTAGTAACCCATTACCAAACATGAAGGCAGAAAAATAGCGCGGATCGCTTTGAAATTTTTAATGAGGTTCTAGTTATGGTCAAGGACAACGCCTATAATTTTCGGTGATTATCAGATAATAATTTTGGGATGAAGTGGACCGAAAACTTAATTTTTGTGTATTTTTCGAGTCGATTTATAGGCCACAATTATAAGCCGAACATCACCACACAACCCACAGGGCTGTACTGAATATTAGTAATATTCGGAAAATATGCCAGTGTCAGGAAGATGTGCAGTTGACCTCTAATCGGACAAGAGGGTGCAAATATCACGAAATATTGCCCAGACTCGAAGTAAACATCCACAGAAAGTTAGAACTCCGTGGCAGTTGTGTAGGGTATCGTATGGTCTGCCCGTCCGACTATACTGCTCCGCTCACTGGTTTTTGTGTTATGTTTGATCTGGTATCTTGGATAATTAGAAAGTTTAAGAAAACATATCATCAAAATTGACTGCAATGTGGTATTTGAACCCTGTGGATCGTTGGAGAAAATAGTCGGCGACACAGGCTCACTTGTTTGTTATATGAAATATTTCAAAGTCATTCACTGCAATATTTGATTGGAAACTTTTCTCAAAATAGCTGGTGGATGGTATGAAATGTTCGGCTTGGCCGAACTTATTGCCTTTTACACAAGTTTTTTTTATTATCATTATCTTTATTAGAACGATGACCTGACATATATTATTTATGATTGCAAATGGTACGAACTCACGCCATCGGAACAGAAAATGATACTCATAATGTTGCGGGTGTCGCAGAACCCGCCGGCAATGACTATTGGGGATATGATGCCGTTGAGCATGAATACGGCCCTGCAATTGACCAAATCTATATATACGGTTGCTATGCTCTTACACGAATCTGTGCAATAATTTTCTTATCGCATAGTAATGCAAGAAAAAACAAAATTATTGAATCGATGAGATTATATATTGGAAAACATAATATATTAGAAAAAGCAGAAAATGTTGGATAACAGTAAATTACAGTAGCAGTAATCAAAGCACCTGTAGGATGTAGTCAACACACCCATAGCCATTTTTTTCAATATTTATTGAATAACAATTAAAAAATAATTTCTGTTTTTTAAAAACTCTAAACAATTTTCTAAAAAATAAGAGATTTCAAAAGCATGTTATATCTATCATGTTGTTTTACTATTTTTTTATAATAGAATAAATTAATTTATCCCTCATAGCTGATATGTTACTTAGCTGGCTTGTGACATAATAGGCGAGACGGTTTCTTGCGCAGCTCTTCTAATTCGAAAGATCATGTTCCGAGATGTTGTTTTCCACTTGATCTTTTTTGTCGAATTCGTAGTCTTCCTCTTCTACGGGCAACTAAAGTAGGCTTTTATTTAATGCCTTTTGAGCTGGAGCATCCTCATCCATTCTCACAACATGACCTAGCCAACGTAGTCGCTGCAACTCGATAGTCTGTCAATGCCTATATCCGAGAATAAATGGTACAACTCATGGTCCATTCATAGGTCTTTCGGAGAATTTTTCTCTCAAACACTCCAAGGGCGGGCTCATCCGTCTTGAAGAGTGTGAGTTTGGTCTGGCGAGAGATAGCCTTGTTTCTGAATTGTTTACTTAGGCTATAGTAGCATAAGTTGGTCAACACTATTCTTCTCCGAAATTCAAAACCAATGTCATTAGTTTTATTTATGGCGGTATCGAAGTAAAAAAATCTTTGGCTACCTCGAAGCTGTAGTTGTCATGTTCCACAGTTATTCCGATTCTACTGGACGTTTTGCAAGTTGATACCATCTTCTTGGTCTTCTCGCCATATACTGTCAGTTCACAATTTGTTCAAAGATGACTGTTACCGCTCGCAATGTTCGACCCATTATATCGATGTCATCGTCATAGGCGAGAAACATGTGTTGTTTGTGTACAGAGTGCAATTTCTTTGCCTCTCGTATGACCTTTTCCAACAGGATGTTAAAAAGATCACACGAGAAAATGTCACCTTGTCTAAACCCTCGCCCGGTATTGAAAGGCACCGAGAGGTGCTTTCCGACTTTAACTGCTGACCTTGTGCCACTTAAAGTTATTCTGCATTTTTCGTGGGACTTTTCCAATATTTGGTGCATTTTGAAAATCTGGTCTACAGTGGATTTGGTAGTTTTATTGATAATTTTTCGTGGAACAATATAATTTACCTTTTCTACAGGGTTTGATGCTTTTTTGGTCGTGAACCAAAGAACGAATGTAATTAAAAGCTAAGCTAAGACATAGCTACTTGTTAGATTTTGCTACTACCTTTTGTCTTTATCATAAAATGCTCAAAGACGTATATAAAGGTAGTGAACAAGATATAACGATGGGGTACAATTTACTTTAATTCAAATGGAATTATATTTCAAATTAATCAATGGTCGTGAATAATGTCAAACCTTTTAGTGCAACACGACTAGCAATGAGGTCGTGTGCGAAAGAAACGTCGATATTATGGGGAGATCTAAATGAAGATAAGACAAAGTTAATCTCAACACCTATCCAATTAGAAATTAGCAGGAACAAAAAATTGGCCCAACAAAAAAGTTTTAAATCACAATTCAGATGTTTCGATTCAATTAATTTCAGTTACTTCGATTAGTTATATAGTATTGAAGATAATTCAATGATAGGTAAAAAAGTTTAAATATTAATTTATTCAGTATTCAAGAAATTAGGTTGATAATTTCAATGGTAGGTGAAACAACTGATAAATATTAACTATTTAGTTTATACACCAATAGTTCCAGGAATATATATTTTAAGAAATATCACACATACTGGAAGTGTTCTCACAGTTAAAGGACGAGAACCTTATTTGTATCAAATATTTTGACGAACACCAACAGCAATCCCACACCAACATCAATCCCACACAGAATTTTACCAAACATAAGGTATACAATTTCCAAACTCATCTTCACCTTATCCCAAAGAACCTTCTGTTGAGTCAATCACTACTAAGGCCATATCACAGCGTTCGTAAGCTATTTTATAGACCTATCAGGATGGTGGCAAAGAACCTTCCCTACGCCATAAAAATAAAAACAATTCTTATCCGAGACTGTGGGATGATGGGAATGGGCCAGCTTTACTTTTTTTATTTCTTCAATAAGAAAAGGTAAATGGCAAATTTTCCACAACTCACATTTCGACAGATCAGCGATTCAGTTGCTGAAGGAATTGCTAAAATATATCCCAAGTTATATCTATAATTATAAACACGTTTATATAATGCATGTTAAATACGTTCCTCCTTAATTGGCACATTAAATAGAATAACGTACATTTTCCAACTACGTATAACATTTGGATATTCATTCATCCATCCATCCATTAATTCCAAAACGCGTTTGCTATTCGTTCATCTGCCATGACCAGGAACATAACACCTTCGCCTTCACTTTCGGAACGCTTTGCAAAGTTGTTGAGCTATTTGCTAAGTTGGTGGGGGCAAATGTTTTCGATCCAAATTATCTGCCAAATTTGATGACTGCGTTTATTTATAGTCAGTTTTTAGTCTTTTTCGCATTTAATTTATATACGATTTATTTGGGCGTGGTCTTTTAATTATACCATAATTTTGCAGTGTTTGTGTGTTTTCACTGTGGGAATGCAGGTGAGTTTGCCAATGGATACATTTCGTCGACAGAATATCTTCTAATAAAACGACGACACACTTCTCACAGGGTGCAACCAAACATTTGAATGCACTTTTCAATTCGAAATTAATTCGTTTCATTTGTTCGGAACTTCAAACCATATACGAGGAATACGAATGTAAAAATCGACACTATAATGATAATTTCAACATTACTCTAGTCTTGGTGAAACGTACGATTTATGTTCTGTTCCAAATCAACTTTATTTTGACAACCAGCGGATTTGCAGTACCCTTATTCTATTATGTGGCACGGAATGAGTCAATCGATATTATACCCCTAATGGTACCGGGTGTCGATCCAAACACCGCTATCGGCAATACTATCTATCGGTTATTTCACGCTTCTTGTATCATCTTTTCGGCGTTTGGTAACTACGTCTTTGATACGTTTGTGATTCTAATCATTGTCCATATACCGCTGATGAAGAACATCCTCATGTTGGAATTTGATGAGTTGGATGAGATATTGGAGCTATATCCAAGAAATCGGAATTAGTCTCAGCCACAATTGTTTGCCTGTTTTTGCGTGTGTGGCCTGTGGCTCCAGTATTTTTGGTATATATTTTTGTGATTTTGTAGTTTTATTGCGGCCTTGGAAATCTGGTGGAAATTTCAGTTGAGAAAAATTAAAAGGGTTTCCATTAAGTTGTATATTTAATGGAATTGTATATACCATCCATCATATATTTGTGCTGTAAAACGTAATATTCTAAGGGGATTTAGTCATATCTGTCTGTTGGTCCGACTGTTGTAATCACGTTATCTTCCGAACCGATTGAGGTAGAGTTTTAACCTTTTGCATAGATTTTGTTTTTGTCAGCAGTTAGGTAGGCAATACTTTTAGGATTTCGGATGCATTTTTCATTCTAACAAACAGATCTTCTTTCCAAAAATTATAAATATCGTTCCGAATTTAGTTACAGCACGCAAGTAAAGGAGATATACCCATATTTTTGAGTATATGAAAAAGTAAAAAATTTTCGAGAAAAAAAATTATATTTTTTCTGAGTCGATTTATTTATATGTCAGTCTGTCTGTCTATGTATTATTCTAACTAAAGTACAGGTCAAACCCTATTGAAATTCGTGTTATAGCTTCCATATAAACTTTCGCCCGATTTTACAATAGTTTGTCCGACTGAGACAACATTTTGTGCAACTAACAAATATTATTTACGATTTCAAATGGTATGAACTCACAGCATCCGAACAGAAAATGATACTCATCATGTTGAGAGTGTCGCAGAAGCTGCCAACAATGACAATTGGTGATATGATGCCGTTGAGCATGAATACGGCCCTGCAATTAACTAAATCTATTTACACGGCTGCTATGCTCTGTGCAATAATGCTGTTCTAGAGGAGTAGTGCAAAGAAAAATATCGAATGGATAAGATTTTTTATTAGATATATTGCGAAAAGTGAAATATGTTGGATAACAAACAATTAGTCAAAAACAGGGCACCTGTAGCTTGTAGTGAACGCCATGCCATTTTTTTCAATATCTATAAAAACAAAAATTCGAGACAATAATTGATAATTTTCTAACAACTCCAAATATTTCTCTAATAAAACCAAATAATAATTTCGAAGCGGGTTTTACATAATTATACCCTAGAGGGCGTTATAGCTTTGTACAGCCACAAGAATTTGTAACGCCGCGATTGTTGTGGAGACGACCAAAAATTTTATTTTCGTCTGTTTATCTGGACGATCCAGAAGCCACAATTATGAACCGAAATTTTAATCGAGGAATGGAATCTGGCCAAATAATAAGCATGACTGTTTCAGTGAAAATCGGTCAATATTTAGCGGGCCAAATAGACAACGACTTTTGTGCAAAAATGGCAAAATTTGCATTCTGGGGCGTATATATTTACTCCTGAAGGACCAAGAGGAGCGGTTGACCTTTAATGGTTATACGTAAATATTTAAAGGTGTCTATGTGCTGTGATATTGTTTATTTTCACTTTTACACCATAGAGGGCGGATATGTCGCGCTGATCGCTTTAAAATTTAACATGATGATTAACCAAGGACGACGCCTATACTTTTCGGTGATGTTTAGATGATATCTAGGGGGTGCAATGAACCGAAAACTTTATTTTTGTCAGATGTTCTAGTCACTCCAGAGGCCATTATAATATTCAGAACATCAAATATGTTGCACGGTAAGAAAATCAAACCAAATACTTAGAATGACA